TATGGATGTTTTATTTGAATCAATCAGAGAGCTTTAATACAATCATCCAATCAGGAGACAGAGTCAGGATCTGACCCTAATTCAAACTGATTGGCGCGACTCGATGAATCAATTGCCACTTTCAACCAGAGGTTTATTTTTCCTCTCCCCTTCGCAATGAAAATAATAAAAATAAACCTCTGGAACCAGGGTACTTCAACTGCGTCTGACACAGCGGCTATTGTCTTCAATTTCTGCCTGATATTGGCATATTAGTTCGAGCGAGCTGACTACTATATCCTTGCAGGTCTTGGAAAACAGTTCGGCAATAAACTGATAAATAAGGCTTCAGCTTTTTGGAACTAAATATTTGAAAATTTCCGACATCCACATATACTACATATTTTCGTTCTACGGCGACTATTACGCGAGATATTTAGACACGCTTTCTACTATGATTATGTAGCGACATCTTGAACTTGTTGTTCTCTTATCCGCAGTGTTTGATCAACTGACAACTATAGCTCTTCCTAAGTGTTCTTGAAAACATACAACTTGTCAATGTCTTCTTGTGGCAAACAAAAAAAACTGAAATGAAAAATAGACACCATGTTAACCGACAAGAAAAGCATGCATTCAACAGTTAAATCGCATAGTTATCAGAATTCCCATAGTTATCATAATTCCCAATTATGTCGCACATGAGATTAATATATTTGTATCCAAGTACAAGCATGCAAGTATAACATAAACAGCCGCGTAAAATAGGTTTTCTATCGAGACATTCTCTTGTGTCAACATCTAGATTTCATTCGAGATTATGTTTGCTGGCCACATGCATGAATATTTGATAGGTTTCTATATATCATACAAGACGCTCTATGGAGCGTGTAGAAGTAAAACCATTGCAACAGTTAAATCGCATATAGTTATCAGAATTCTCAATTATGTCACAGAATAAAGACATACAGAAGTGTATCTTCTTATTAAAAGTGCGTAAGGGATTTTTTCAGTCCGCCATGTTCTTAGCAAGTGCCCTAAAGAGAGGCAGTCACCCCCCTGAAAACATATTGAAAATTTAATATTCCAGGGGGGTAAATGCCTCTCTTTAGGGCACTTGCTAAGAACATGGCCGCCACCTATTTCGGTAAAAAGCGCCTTACGGTTTTGTAATGGAAGTTACACTTCTGTATGTCTTTATTCTGTGATTATGTCGTGCACGAGATTAAACTAATAATTGTATCCAAGGCTGCATGAATGATAGGCAGTTTACATAAAATGGGTTTTTATCGGTAATTTCTCTTGTATCAACATTTAATTTTCATTTGAGTTTATGTTTGCTGGTCACATGCATGAACATTTGATTGGTTTCTATATCATACACGACGCTCTATTGAGCGTGCAGATCGGTGTTAAAGCATTGCAACAGCCGTTAAAAATGTAGTTATCAAAATTCTCACTTATGTCGTACACGAGATGAACAGAATAAAATGATTGTATCCAAGGCTGTATGAAAATACGACAGACAAGCCCCCAGTTTACGACAAATGGGTTTTTATCGATAATTTCTCTTGTGTCATGCAACATCTACTTTTCATTTGAGTTTATCAGGTTTGCTGGCTGGATGAAAATTTGACACTCTGTTGAGCGTGAAGCCACTGGGCCTAGCCGTAATGCCAATAATAGGACCCTGCATGTATGTATTCAAGTAATATTGTTACAGTCACAGGCGGCCCAATGTTGGGGTGCTGGTTCAGTAAAATAGAGTTTTATGTAAAACAAGACGCCTGCTCAGGCGTTCACACTGACCTGAAAATGACGACATACGTGCTATGGTGCAATAGAAAAGAATACAAAACGTGAACCGCAAACGCAAAGTGTGAAACGGTGAAAGGCTAAAAGCGTGGCGTGATCCTCAGGAGATATTGAAACGCAAGTATTACTCACAAATACAAAGTTATCCATAAATGCACGTACATGGCCTCTGAGCATGCGATGTGCTAACGCAGACAACATTGTTTACATTTCGTGAGTCCGCGTATTAAGTTGTATTAAACGTATAAAATTCGAAAAACTCAGCGATCCAGATATTGCATTTCCAGAGACGTTGCACGAAAAACATCCAGTCAACTTCCAAGAAAGTGCAGAGTAGGATAAATCCAAAATCCACAGAAAAACGCGCTAAAATTCGTTGACAAATGAATAAATTTTTTGAGACTGAAATAGTCACTCATTGAATGGCCGCCATCTTGAAAACTGATCTGCATAGTAAACTGGAACGACTGGAACACTGCAACAGGGCCTGCGATGCGCTAACGCAAACTCGATTTCTCGATGACGAAAAACCCCAGGAAAAACAGATGTTTAGGGATTTAAGACACTTGACCTTACAGGTCAGTGTAAATATGTGATATAATATGCATTTATTGAAACAACATCATGTATTCAAACCTAGCGCGAATTCTCAGAGAATAGTAACTGAACAAAAGGGGAATAAAAGGAGAACATAAACTACCAATTAGACAAGTAAATTTTTTTTGAATAAATGTTTATTATATCACATATTTTTCTATAAAATTCTATCATACTGCATGCAGAAACGACACCCCAACATTAATTGAATTTATCTGTATATACACTGCAATTACATTTTATTAGTCAGTTAGGGAATGTTCATTTAATATGTCAAGGGGGGGGGGGGAGTGAAGATTTCGTATTGCTTACAAGATTTTTTTAGGAGCCCATCGCAACATTGCGCTGAAATTTGTGAGCCCCCCTGTAAGTATCCCTAAAAATTAAGAGCCCCCCCTTCTTCCTTTGCTCAATTTTGATAATACCCATATATAACTACATCCAAAACCTTAAAGATACCTGGGCGTTATCCTGATTTTAACTAGTTAATAAACATAATAGTCTTCGTACAGTATCTTGCATGTGGAAAACTAGCTGCTCTTCTGCTGCGTATCGTTGGCAAATTTGCAATTTCTTCATCAGAATCCTCAGACATTCCCTCAGTTGAATTGTCGTCTTCATCGCCTTCTGGAATTATCTGAAGTACTTCATCATCGTCAGAATCGGATTCACCATCTCCTGACAAAGTATCATCATCTGAAGTTTCTGCATCAATGGCTGCGTCGTTGGTCCTATTTATGTAGAAATCTGCCTTAATTCGTTTGATTTTATCCTCTTTTTTTCCGATAGTGGACAGGTCGTGTCTCTTAAGGTACTTGTCAAGTTCCATCACTTTTAATGAATTTAGTTTTCCTGAATCAATGAGGGTATTCCAATCATAGTTCTCATAGGTTTTGCTGCACTCTTTTTCTCGTTTTTTTCTTCTTTCGTTTTCCCTGATAGCAGACATCATTTTCAACTCTTCAAGGTGTTTAACATATGATGCGACATCCTTCTCTTCAACACAATAGCGACTGGATACTTCTTTAAGTTGTTCGACATTGTCCGATGAGATTGTGCCAGCTTTATATATATATATATCACTGTCCTGGGAGCGACATCATCCACTTCCCTTAACTGCCCGTTATTGTCTGTGGTTGGTGTGTTGAAAACACTCATATAATGCCCTGGCTTATCAGGATCTGGATACAGGGCAGGAACTCTGGAGAACCTGGGTCCAACCCAGTCCTTTTCACTACATTTCTTGCATACCTCTCCATTTTCCCGACATCCGTCCCTTATATATTCCATATATAGTTCACCAATTCTGTAGTGTCTTTCAATAAAGTTTAAAACATTCGTTATGTAGTGGTAACCAGGAACCTGTTGTTTTGACTCAGCGGCAGTACAACTTTAAAATTGTTTTAAGTATTTTTTGTTGAAAAAGAAAGGGCTTTGCTTTGGAGTTAAATAACATTTAATAAACTCGTTAAACACTGGTGCCCCATCAACCCTATTGCGAATTTCATTAGCACAGTACCACGCATTCTTCTCCATTCTATCCGTCTCGTGCTCTTCGAACTCTTTCACCGTCAGTTTACTTATATCTTCATCACTTAGTCCATCAAAGCGTTTATGTTTGTTCCACTGGAGAGTTGCGCCATCTACGATACTGTCGCCGATTGCGCTGTTAGTTCTCTCGGCCTCGTTATCAGACGAATTACCCCTGGAAGAATGCAGTCTGATCCGATAGTCATCCTTGAACTGTACTTCGAAATTGTTACAAGCAACTCCAGGTCCAGCGTCGGTAAAATCCGCCCATCTTGGTTTCACAGGCGGAAACTTCAGCTCTGCAATCCCCTCAAGAAGAGAATGGCATTTTTCCAAAAGAGCATCGTATTTCGGCTGCACCTGATGTGCTTCTGAAGGGAAATTGCCACGCAGAGCTTTAGCAGTATCAATTATATCAGTCAACTTTATAGGAATCATTGCTTTTGCAAGTAGCTTTAACTCAGCTTCGTTTAGATTGAAGCGACCACACAAAGACAAGGAAGATTCCAAGCGAATCATTAAATGAGAGAGTCTCTCTTTCTCGTACTGACAATACGGGTTTTCGGGAAATTTGCAAGAGGTTACATTTGCTAAGTCATCTGCATTTGTCATTTCCACAAAAGGTTTTGTGTCATCATGCACACGGGCACAAGTGACTCTAAACTCTGCGGAATATTTGGGATCGTTCTCGTTAGCAACTTCAAACTTATCTGGAAGCTTAGTTCTCAGTTCCTCAGTTTCATTGGCCCATGTTGTACCGGATGCAAGAGCGTAATAATGAACTGTATGATTGTAATCATGTACCTAAGCAGTGGGCAGGCGATGAAATTTCCTATATTACTCAGCATCTTGAAAAGCTTGAAAAGCTTAACAAGAATCTCATTTGTCTTCACTCTTCCATCACTAACACCTGGCAGCTTTTAAGTGCGCCCGCTTCAATAAGGATACAGTTTCAGGAGAAGAAAGGAAGGGGATAACCAGGAGAAGAAAGGAGCAAAGGGGAAAAGCTCGTCAAAGACAAACGAACATGGGAAAGAAACAAGCTTACAAGCTTATATTGAAAATACATGGAAAAGAATTTGCTGATGCCTTTCTTATAAAAGGAAACACTCAAAAAGTTAGCACACAAAAACTGGGGAGTATACAGCTCCTACCCAGATTCCACATAAAAGCCATCGAATACTTGATTGCTCAAGGCACAGTTGATGACATGGAAGAAGCAGAAAGACTTTTAGATATACTTCTGGCAAGAAGAGCAGCAGCCAAAAAGGCCACCACAGTAAAGAGTCAGGAGGAAAGAACCAGCTGGAGTCTGAAAGTGAACTCTCAGTTGGATGACGAGATTACAGAGCCTGGAGATGATGAGTCTGACAGCTTTGAAATGGATGAAGATAGTAACTATTAAATATAACCTGTCACTCCTTAATCAGTTTTATTTAATATTGTCTTTAAAGGGTATTGGCAACAAAAATTGCTTCATCTATCTTATTGCTTCATCTGAAAGAGCATGAAAAAATAAGCCGATTGGCCGTTTAATGCTCTATTCTATCTCATCTAGTTCCGAAGTTATACGCAAAAATGTGAAAATATAAATTGCTGATTCAGCACAACGTGTGATGTCATTAGCTGGGTAAGTATGTTTATTGAATACTACACTGAAGCGTAGCTCAGTTATTATGGGCCCAAATCAAATGAAATTTTGCATACTGATTGTACATGATGAGACGCATGGAAAAACACTTCTAATTTTGTTGCCAAGGTAACAATGCGTTTCCATGCCCCTTGCGCCAATTTTATGAAACAGCTTTATTCAAGGTACTGATAAGAATAAAATAATATCAGAAGTATGTGTATGATACCTATGCATGCCAAAAGTTTACTTGCATGATAATAATTCGAAAATGACATACACATAGATAAATGCAACTAGTTATTCAAAATCAGTGTAAGAGGCCTGGGAACGATTGTGTTGCCTTGACAACGAAATTAGAAGTATTTTCCCATGCATCTCATCATGTACTATCTGTATGCAAAATTTCATTTGATTTGAGCCAATAATAACTCAGCTATGCTTTAGTTTACTATTCAATAAACATACTTACCCAGCTTATGACGTCACAGAATGTGCTGAATCAGCAATTTATATTTTGCACATTTTTGGGTATAACTTCGGAACCGGATGAGATAAAATAGAGCAGTAAACGGCCAATCGGCTTATTTTTTCATGCTCTTTCAGATGAAGCAATAAAATCAATAAAAATTTTTGTTGCCAATACCCTTTAAATAGACCTAAACATTCAAAATACAGTATCACATATTAACTGGAAATAGGTAGTTAAAGTAGTTGGAAAAACAAGAGCCCCCCCCCTACGTAACCTCAAACATTTTAAAGCCCCCCCCTTGCTGCACTAAATTTTTTCTAATGCCCCCCGCCCTCAGAATCTTCACTCCCCCCCCCCCTTGTCATATTAAATGAACATTCCCTTACATTACGTAGTTCTTAAAAGAACTTTAAACGCAAGAGTAAACCACTTTACTGCAGTACTTTAAATTCTTTGGTTTTAATCAGGGACGCCGGAACTGGGGGGGGCAGGGGGGGCGGCTGCCCCCCTTGCCTTTTGCTAGGGCGGGCAGGGGGGCAGAAGTGCCCTTTTTGTTGTAAAATAATACGTGATAAATCACATTTCCAACGATGCTTTTTGTAGGAAAATCACGAGATTCAGGTAATTTATAGTTTATATTTATAAAAATTTCGGGAAATTTTTGGAATTTATAAAAATATTTTGAAAAAATGGCGAAAATTTAAGATATCCGGAAAAATTTTTGGCTTCACGGAAAATTTTAGTATGTCCGAAAAAATGTTTTGATCCCTAAAATGGTACACTCACCGAAATTTTTTTGGCGACGGGGGGGGGGAGGTCGCCAAAAAAATTTTGCAGTGAAAAAATTTTTTTCAGTAAAGGTGCCCTTGGTGTGCGTCCGCCCCCCTTTGCCCTATTATCGTTCCGGCGTCCCTGGTTTTAATTCAGAATGCCGTGGGTACAACTTTACGTATGCAAAAGTTATGTATATGTAAGAAAAACTCAAAAGTCAAACTGAAGGATTAAGAATATACTCTACTCACATGTACCCATGCAGGGGCGCACTGGCTATACCTTAAGGGGGCCCGGGCGATTTGGCCCTGATCCCCAATGTTGCTTCTTAATATAAATTTAGGCGTCAAGAAACTTCTTTCGCATTCGACTTGTGTTACACTAAGCGGTACTAAATATTGATAAGCTGCATATAGTTCGGAATACGAAGATGAGTTAACAACATATTCATAAAGGCAGCTGAAACATGACCTGCAAGATTTGTTTCTGCATACAGCTTCATTCTCTGACCAGTCATCGTGCTTTCACTCCCACTATCTTCCGACTCAAAATTCGGGATTGGTATTCTTCAGAAAGTGTCTTAACAAGCATTGGAAATGTGTGGTGGAAGTCTATAAGCTGCTCACTTAACTGAATTGGGTCTACATGATTTCCAATCTTTTTACAAAACTTTCTAGTGCATTTTGAGGCAGCCTCTGTCTTTTGTATTCATCGAATTGGCAAGGGTCCAAACAAGAAAAATCTTGATAAAGTCCTTGTTATAATTTGATCCATAACGACATTGAATACATTCACTTGATAGTCCTCATGAGCATCCATCGCCCTATTGTCAATGTTATCTTTTCACCGAAATGTAGTTTCCTTTCTCGAGAAAGAGCGCAGCACACTGCTTGCAATTTCTGACCACAAAACCAAAACATATACGTATAAGAAATTGTTTACAGCTAGCCTCTCCGTCATCATACTTCCCAAAGATTTTCTGAATCGCACCCGCTTTGGCCCACCAACGTGCATTTCCAATGGTATTAAGCTTCTTAAGCTTATGTGCCCGAATTTTTGAACTCAAACACTGAAATATGAAAAGGTTCGTTGCAGGAAGCGTGGAAGAAGTCTTGTCCACGAGCACGAGGTTAAGAGTCTGCGCATAGAACCAGACATCCGAGCTTGCACTCCCCTGTATTGCCCTGACATAATCGCGGCACCATCAAAACTATCTCCTACGCAGTTTTTTCTCTTTGCGTTGCTTGTACTTGCCCAGTTTCCCAGATTACAAAGTTAAATTATAGGCAGAGGATTGCACGGGACGCGGATCCCATAATATACTAACATGCAGTGTTGCTCAATCGATTTTTCCAGTACATGACTATTTTTTTTTATTGCTTTAAATTGTAAATTTGCACATTTACCCGAGAATATATATCTTCGAGTTAGTCACGTTTCTCCGCAGCGGATTACGCCCGCTTATCCCGTTATGAGTTTTGGCGCCCCCCAAACGGTGATCGCTTAGTATCTTTTTGTGTATATATAAAAGAAAAATAGTAGGGAGAAAAGGTCGCAGCTGTCTTTATTCGGGCGAGAAAAGTGGTTGAAGCGTGTAGCTACCAATCAGTGTATATATAGAGTTCAGTGGGAAAGCCGCCCCATAAAACATTTCGGGTTTGGACGGCCATATTGAATTTTGAACACGAGAGTAAACATTTTGAGTATTTATAGAACGGCAATTGCTAGATAGTATACTTCAAAATAAGGTTTCCGTTTTTATATCAATTTTTAAAATAAGTTAGGGTTAGGTTATAGGGTTTAGGTTAGGGTTAGGTTAAGGTTAGGGTGAGGGATAGTATTAGGGTTAGGGTTTAATTTTGAGTTAGGATAGTTTTTTCTATGTTATAAAAACGGAAACCTTATTTTGAAGTATACTATCTAGCGATCACCTTTATAGAACATATATTGAGGATTTTGTTAGTAGAAACTTGCTTTATTGAACGACCGATACAGTCGGTAAGTTTTTGAACACTTATTGTTGACAATTTTAAGGTATTTGTATATTAATTTTAGTTTAACTTGTAGAAAACCTGCTGTTTATATTGGTGGAAATAGTAATATACGATATCAAGTGGAAAATTATAGTGGAAAATTAGAAAATTAAACGAGACTTACCTGGAAGTTGAAGTTTGATTGGAATTCTATGAACCATCTACAAAGCAGAGATTACACGAGATACTACGCATGCGCACAGCTGGTCATATTTTAAAGTGATTAGTGGCCACATGAGAACCTGTGAATGTGCATATACACCATATGCAGGGAGATGATGGAATAATGGGAGGGTGTGTAATCTCTGCTTTGTAGATGGTTGATAGAATTCCAATCAAACTTCAACTTCCAGGTAAGTCTCGTTTAATTTTCTAATTCTATCAACATCTACCGCAGAGATTCCACGAGATTTTAAAGCCATGCGGGCACTAAATAAGTACTTCAGCAGTATGCATAGCTAATATTTGCATATTACAACACTAATACATATATACTTCAAGTATATAGATGTAATATGAACCAAAACAGTTGCTTTACATTCTTCTGTTGCTAGAATCCTCAAGTTTGAAAATTAACAAAACAGGAACCAAATAGTGCTAAACTTCTAGTGTCTTGTCCTTACGTGGCATCCGATAGTATAGCATTCCCAAAATCTGTATATTCTCGGTGAGATTCGATGTCTTTATTATAGAAGCGATGAAATAC